CCCAAAAAGTGATTTTTCCCAAGTCTGATTGCAGCCATTTTTCAAGTGGCAACCCTCAACTTTCTTGGGCACTTAGGACCATTTTTCAACCGTAGTTTTCAGCCCTTCTCCCCTCATATGAAAGCTCAAAGACCCAGGGAGTTGATCCTGGCAACGATTTACACAATCTCACCATTTTGGGGGCCAAACAATCTCCTTTTTCAAAAGATGCTGTGGGGGGGGAGCACTTTTAATGCTAATGAGCTGGTCAGAAATTCTCACTTGAATTAGTGGTCTTCTCCCTCGAGCTCCTTTGGCGATAAAGCCTTAGAGGGCGCCTTCTAATCTTTCCACTTCCACACGCTACCTAGATTGTGTCATGTGATTAACTTAGTAAGCCGAGCGCTAGCGAGGCCTTCAGTAAGTTGTATCGTATATTCGTAACGTTAGTTGGAAATTGGAATCTTCCAGTTTTATGTGTAGATTAAGACAACTGTCCTTGTTGGTTAAGGACTTCCAAGCCTCTTTTCGTCACACGAAGAATATTTCGGTAAAAGCAGCTTTTTATGTGTTTTTGACGGCTCGAATTACACCGTAGTTAAGTTCCGTACAGTCATGACAGTAGTAAACTTTCTAGTGGTAGTCATAAATTATAACGTTACGTTAGGCCCGAACTAAACCACAATCCTTATTGCTGATACCGCACGAGTGATTTTGAACAATGGTAGAAAGGCATTTTAGGAAGAAAAGGGGGCAATGTTTGCTCCTTTTTCCTTCACCTGATGCTTTTCTACCATTGTGCAAAATCACCCATGCAGTATTTGCGATAAGGCTTATATAAACCCCATGAGATTGGTCTGAAAATCGAGCTTTTCTGGACATGTTTTTGCTTTCTTACGGCTATTAACATGATTAAGTCAATGTATGGAAGAATTACTGGCGTCCCTATTTTTCTGTGGAACTCTTTCCCATGGTAGGCCCGAAAGTGTAATCATGGATTTTAGGACTTCTTGCCATTGCAGCCACAAGTAGGAAATTGATTGACTCCATGCATGTTAGCCCCATACCTCGATACTCGCATTGCTGTATCCCCACAGGTGTAGCCTGGATAGGCCTTGCTGTATACAACTTACAAGGATACATCAAGGCAATTATCCAGGGCAAGGCCACACTCATGGGGCTACGTGCATGTATAACATGGCATTGATACTGATCGGACCATGGAGGAATGTGTTTTATTCATCCATATTACTTGACATACTGGATTATTTAGGTTGACATGTTTGATCGGCTCAGTACTTCTGCTTTTTCAAGAGAACTTGAGCACTCAAACTGTTGCCTGAGAGTGAAAGCCAAATGCATGCTCAGTGACATTTCTAGAATTAGAAATGTAAAGATTTTCTAGATACCATAACTAGGCATGTTACGTTACTCAAGCACTGTCAAGCTGGACATGTCCACAGTTTCATGTCGACATTCTCATTGCATTTTTTGATTGGATTGCAAATGGTCCATTGTGGTATTTCAATACCTATGTGGCAAAATTTTCTTTTCCTTCAGGATTGACTGATAGCACAAAGTAACCACACCTGTGTGCCCAACATACACAAAAGTTTTGCTTTTAAAATGAATATGTTTGTTCCATTACTTTTTGTGATGTGCTTTCAGATTTAAAAGGAGACAAAGAAATCACAAAGAAGAGAAGAATGAGTGGAAATACAGGAATGGCGTTGTATTCTTCACGTCTGTTATTACTGTGGCAACTAGTAGCTCATGTCTGTGTTTTCCCAGGCAGTGTGCAGGCAGGTATGAGTGAATTTTTTTAAAGTTAAACAGACAAGACATGAATCCTCAGGTTTCTGCAGGATGGTAAACTCATAAACTGCCATTCAATTTTTCAGACTCCAGTCCGTGTAGGAACTTGCAGGGGAAAAAGTACATTGTCTGTTTATCAAGTCATCACACTTTGACCCCTCTATTAACCCTAACTTTTCAACTGTACCCCAAATGATGCTCTTTTCAATTTTGCACCGTAACGAACATCCACTGTAAGTATGCAAGTGTTGGACATGACGCCCCAATTACAGAAAATGTGCCATTGGTTTTCCCTCAGTGATGTGGCTATCTATTTCAGAAATGTTAGTGCAAATTCCAAGTGGTTTTAGTGATGAATATTAGTCTGTGTTGTATGTTTTTCATTTTGTCCTTCAGAGACCTGCAAGTTGGCCTCCTACTACAGCAATTACATGGTTCTTCAGCAGCAGCCACACAATGCTGTGGTATGGGGCTACTCTGACATCATGGCTACCATTGAGGTCAAAGTTGGTGACAAGATGTACAAAGCTTCAATCGAAACTCGTGAGTTGTGCATCTGCATGTTGGCCCGTGTTTGTTACTCGTGACTTGACTTGTAACTATCAGTTTTTGATTTGTGATTTGACTTTGACTTGCACACTTTGACTTGCTTCTGTTTGGACCAAATTGACTTGTTACTTGCTTGACTTGACCTATGATCAAATGGCCTGTGACTTGACTTGTTACTGGACCAAATGACTTGTGACTTGGCTTAGACTTGCAAAAAGTGACTTGTGACTTGACATGTGATCAAATGGCTAGTGACCTGACTTGTGACTGGACCAAATGACTTTTGACTTGGCTTAGACTGGTAAGCATTGACTTGGGACTTAACTTGGACTTGCAAAAATTGACCCGTTACCACCTCTGATTGAGTCAGGTAAATAGTAGGCAGTCACCGTGCTGTGTCACTACCGAACCAATGACTTTTTTTAAAACCAAGAAAGCGGTAAATAAAAGTCTCCCTGTGCATGGTGAATCTCTGATGATTAGACAATAAAGCAGTCGGTTAAGAAACCTGTAGATGAGGGCAAATTGCTGAAAAATCTATGCAAATCATTAAGGTTGTCTGTTGTACAAATAACTGGCATAAAATGTTAAAAGCTAGCTGTCATAACTTAAGATTCATACTGGTGGATTTTTAAAGTTAGTAACTTGATTCTTTTTGCATGTGTATTCAGAGTTTCCCAGTCGAGTTGGAGTCTGGAAAGTCAAGCTTGACCCCATGCCAGCTGGAGGACCTTACGACATTGTGGTCTTCTGTGAAGACTGGAGGGCAGTCAACACTGTTGTTCTGAAAGACGTCATGTTCGGGGATGTCTGGATTTGTAGTGGTCAAAGCAACATGGCGTTTACTGTAGACCAGGTAACTATGGTCATGGTTCTTGCCTTCCACCACATCTACGGTTGCCTTTCTTGGAATTTCAAACAAGCAGATGTAGCATGATGCGAATTATATATACAACAGATATATGCAGTCCCAACTGAATTCTTGGAGTCTACTGACATCCTTGGCAAAATTCATATCCAGGTGTAACTCGCAGGAATTGGAAGGCACACAACAGATTTGATAGTAGGATGTGACAGTGGCTTTTTATAAGTTCATTCGAAATGGAGATTTGCCAGAGAATGCAGAAAGGGGAAATAGGGGCTTGACTACATATGCCCATTGTTCAAATTCTCACCATCTTGTGAATTTTGAATGCAATACTGGAGTGTTGTAGTAGGCAAGACCCCTGACGGCCATCACAAGACCTCTAGTCTGAATTCAAGTCACTGGTTATTCAAATTGAGCCGCAACAAAAGCATTCCTTTGTCACTGTTCATCCTGTTGCGTGTGAGTGCTCTGGTGACTGGTTTTGTGTCTAGTCTCGTGACTAGACATATGACTGGTTTTGTGTCAGGTTTTGTGAGTGGCATATGACTTGTTTTGTGTCTGGTCTTGTGACTGGTCATATGGCTAATTTGTGTCTTGTCTTGTGACTGGTCATATACACGTAACTGGTTTTGTGTCTGGTCTTGTGACTGGTCATATGGCTAATTTGTGTCTTGTCTTGTGACTGGTCATATACACGTAACTGGTTTTGTGTCTGGTCTTGTGACTGATCATATAACTGGTTTTGTGGCTGGTCTTGTGATTGGTCATATGACTGGTTTTGTGCCTGGTCTTGTGGCTGGTCATATGATTGGTTTTGTGTGTGGTCTTGTGACAGTCTTGGAGTGCAACACAGCAGTAATGTATCACACCATGCCAACATCTTGTTGAGTGGGGCAACGTGTATTCCAGCATTGGCATACCCTGTGAGTCTCCATCATTGATGGTACATGTATGTGGAAATGGCGCAGTATTGAACTATTGAACTAGGCCGAGTTTGTAGTGTTGGGCGGATTTGGTTTCTAATAGCAGAGGTTTCTCTCATTTTTTTCTTTATTCCACAAAGTGAAATGCCCCCCTTTGTCACCTCTCAATTTAAAGCTGCAGTACTGAGCCATTGAGACTATGCGACACAAAGAAGTAAAATCAACTAAACAATGTTGTCTTGGCTTCAGGCCAATACATGAATATTTAAATGGCAAAAGTGGTATATTCTTCGATGCCCGAGGGCCCTTGTTTTGTCCCCGGTCCTCCCCAGACATGTGATTGTTGCATATGTTGCTTTTGCAGAGTTTCAATGGATCTAAAGAGTTAAACGAATCCATCAACTATCCCGACATCCGACTGCTTGCTGTCAAGCAAGTCTTGTCGGAAACACCTTACAATGACTTGCATGGATTGTATGAGCCATGGTCCAAGCCATCTCCAGGTACATAACAATCATGGACATCCAACAGAAGTTACTACTGACAAAAATTTAGGGTTTTTTGCAATTTGTTTTAACTTACCAATACAAGTCCCTATTCCATTCATTATGATTAAAGGGAATTCCCCTTAGCATCTTCAAACTTGCAATTTGACCACAGCCTCAATCAGTCACAAGCATTATTTAGGAATGCTTGCTACTCAACAACATTCATCAAGTGACAGAGTAATGATAGCTTGCAACATGTTAACTATTTACCCTTGGAATGAGAAGATTACCAAGAGCATCCCTTTTAGTATTTGAATGAGAAATGGAAAAGAGGGGTTTAAGGCTACCACCATAACGTCCAGACTAGCCCGGTAATTTTGTTCTTTTTGAAATCGCTGATGACGTTGATTGGGGCTTGCGCTTACCCTCCATGGCTAAACAAAATGGATGATTGGTCTGGTTTTTTTTTTTTAATTTGCTTGAGTTTGCAAAGTTGATGATAGGCCCTGAAATCTATTTCTGTGGTAAAAGAGTTTCTAATGCTGGTCTCTCAAACTTATCAAACTTCTACTCATCCCTAGCCATTTGATGTCACATTTTCTTCCCTTCAGAAACCTTGGGCAGCAAGGCTGCGACTTTCACATACTTCTCTGCATTGTGCTGGTTCTTTGGCCGTGACTTGTATGATACTCTGCAGTATCCAATTGGGCTGATCTCGACCAATTGGGGAGGCACCCCAATTGAAGCCTGGTCATCCCCCGATGTACTGAAAACGTGTGGCACAAGAAACAGGTAAATTTGGAGAACTCTACTCAGATTTTTAGCTCTTCATCCTCAGCACAGTGGAGGAATTGGATTTAATTTACAGCGCTATGTTAATCCAGTTTTGAAAAGCTTTTTTTGCTTTGAACATTCCTGAAGCCACCAAAATCTTTCCTGTTTATTGGAAACCATTCTTGGTACTTGTTTGACACTTACAGCTGGTAAGAGGCAAACAGGTAAAGGTCTGATAGTACTGAGTGCTTTGGTGGGAATCGAACCTACCTGTAGAACACACAAAGATCAGATAAGGAAGTGTCTTGACTGTGTTCTTTGTCACTGGTTCCCTCAATGCCTGTGCATTGGGAGAGGCAAGTATGTGTACAGGTGGGAGTCGAACCCTCCTACAAAGCATACATTCAAATGTAGCCCGCTGGACCATACTCACGGTGGATATAAGAATGGAAGCCAGGATCTGTGAACCGTAAGGCAATGGCACTGAATTAAAAAAGATAAGAATTCATTTGAAAATTTGTTCATATTAGAATATGTTTTGTTGGATGCTAGGTCAGTATCTAAGACAAATGACAGACTCACCGGCCCAGTTAAAGGTCCTTCCATGCCAAGCAGTTTATGGAATTCCATGATCCATCCTTTGCTTAATTTCACCATCAAGGGAGCCATTTGGTACCAAGGTAAGACAAGTGTCTATCTCAACAATGAAAGTGACAAAAGTTGATATGTATTCACGTGACCAGACCTTGTCCCCTTCAGAAATGTATTGCAACTTACGAGAATTCTTCAAATCTGGCAACTCTTTAGTTTGGGAAATGTTTTTGAAATCTGAAAAGACAAAAAACTTGCAAACTTGCCAGATGGGAGACGAGGCGGTTCAGTTGGTGGAGCAACATTGTGGATCAGTATCATTTGTCCACCTTGTTATACCTTTAAGTATTTAAAATCCAGGTTATTGGCTGTTGGAAAGTTGCATGGTGATAAGCTGCATCAGAAACTCGAAATTTCATTGTTATTTCATGCTGCTTTTTATGCATAATTTTTATTTTCAGTGGAAAATTTGTGCATATGTTGACGAAAAACTCACCGTGAAGAGCTCCACCTATTGCCAGATAATGTCCAGTGGCGTCCACTTTGATCAATGCCACCAGTTATCAAATGGTATCAAGCATAGTCCCCCTTCAAAGTTAAACACAGGAGACCGTGTTGCTGTGGAAAAAATGCAAAACCGGTATTATGGGGCTTCCTTTGACCTTACCTTGAAGTCACGTGGCAGTTAAATGGCCACTGACTCTCTGTGGTTCGTATTGAAGGTGAATCGAACACCATGGATCCAGATCCCTACAAATGTTTGTTCAAGACCATGATCAACGACTGGCGTGAGAAGTGGCACCAGGGCACAGAGGGCAGCACAGATCTCCACTTCCCATTTGGATTCATGCAGGTAGGCTTAGTTTATCCGTTGGTGATGCCTACTTGCTTCTGCTTGCTGGCCAGTTTGTCACTTGCTTCACCAGGGCAGTGTTCCCCTACATGCATTTAGGTCTTTACGTAAACCTGAAGACTCTTATCTCTACAACCAACAAAAACATGGACAAAGTGTATGTGTTTGCATAGATCATGCAGTGTGTTTGCCGTGCCACACTGGTCTATCAATCGACTGTTAAGCCACTTATACCTTCTGCAGATTTTACACAACACACCTCAACTATGAAATATTACACCAGTAATATATTGGTATTATTATTATTATATATTTCTGGTATTGACGCCAAGGATTCCTCAAAAGCGCCCTAGGCACTGTAGCTCGCAAGACTGAAGAAACCTGTAGAGAGGAAACAGTGACAGGCATTTACAGTTTAGAGGTGGGAGGAAAACCCCAAAGGAATATTCTGGGTAGAACCCACGGAATCAGTTAGGGACTGAAAACCCAATCCACATGTGGACTGGGCCGGGATTCCAACCAAGGCTGCAGAGGTGGAAGGCGAGGAAAGAAACACTGCGCCAACCTGACTGTGCACTGTCACTGTCTGAACACGAACCTGTTTGTGACTCAACACTCAAAATGTTCCAATCCCAGCGGATCCGTTGAGCTGTGTACAAATTTATGTAAGTTGGCAAAATGCTCCCCTGCCTAACTATGCTGTTCCACCATGGAAATAAAGCATGGGTTTAGGTGTATAGGTGGACATTCAAAGCATACCAAGTTTGTGAGGGTCACTCTAATTGGCAGGGAATTTTTGGGAGGGGGTGGGGATCATTTCCAACCCCTTTAAATGGTTGGTTCTTTTCTGGAATACAGCTGTGTACCTCCAACTCCCCTTCCTCGGAGATCATTGGTCCGTTCCCGACACTGAGATGGCACCAGACTTATGACTACGGCTACGTACCTAATGACGTCATGCAAAATGTCTTCATGGGTGTCGGTATCGATCTACCCGATGTCAAGTCTCCATACGGACCGTAAGTCATTCAAAAACCCAGACTGATGTCACCAGCCTTTTCTGAATCCCTCTAACCCTAATTTTTAACTGAGATATCAGAAGGGTCAATACAGCAAGAATGATTTTTCAGTGGTCAAGACCTCTTCACTTGTAGGCAGGAAATCCCAGGTTCAACTCTCTTTTTTGTCTCTAAATGTACAAATGCCTAACAGGTCATCAATGAACACTGGTCAGAGTCAGGTTTGTGGCATGGGTATTACCATCCCAAATGAGGTTGTGAATATAGTAAATTCGTGGACAAAAATAAACATACAGTACGTGTTGAATTAATTCAGGAAGGCCCTAGTCCAAAGTGCCTTGGGTTGCAATTCAACGAATGAAACTCTGACACCCTGTGTGAGGGAAAAATCTTTATTCCTGCCATTTCTTGTGTGTTACTGTTTTAAAGGAATCAACAATAAAGTGAGCATTTTTTACAAGTTTGTGCTCGGGTTTTTTCAAGACAAGTTTTAGAGGAGGACAGAAAAACAATATTTTCTATGGTCTCAGGAAAAACAAATAAGGGTCTTCAAGTTGAAGGGAAGAACACCAACAATTTTTTTTCCCAAAAAAAATGTAAGGAAAAAAAGAAGTAACCCTTACCACTGGTGCTTGCCACCGAGGACCAAAACTCACAATATTGAAATCGGAGACTTCCCCATCAGTTGGACAGTGGAGCAAAAAAAGATTTTTTTCATTTGTATCGGTAAATTGTTGGTCAGCGGTTTCGAAAATTCTTAAAATAACAATTATATTTGGTTTCCAGTTCTAAATCAGAAAAATAAAAGAGAAAAGAATAAAATAAAATATAAAAGATAAAATGCACTGAACCTAGAAGATCAACAAAATCCAGTATCTGTTGGAATTTTAAACATGCTTATTCAACTGTTTAGCTTGAGTTGTTTTAGTGTTTGGGTTAATAGTGATGATTTGCTTATCGGTGACAGGATTCATCCCCGTGACAAGCAGGACATGGGAACCAGGCTATCACTGGCTGGCCGTGCCATTGCCTATGGCCAGAATGTCTCCTATGCTGGGCCATACCCTACCTCCTTTACCGTGAACACGACAACACTGACCTTAGTCATCGAGTACAGTGGAGGGAAAGCTAACATTAGGTTGGTTGGGAAGACGGGATTCGAGGTGAGAATTAAGACATTTCCATGTTGAGTTGTCTTAAGTGGTATTGTCCTATAAGCTTGCCGCATGCCTCTCTGATTTGACCTGTTCACCAGACCACTGGGCCGAAGGCATTGAAAAATACCAACGCTTTAGACATAGAACTTGTACCTTCCTGCAAGGGCCCTTCTAAGGTAAAAACAAATTGGAAATTCATTCTAGGAAAAAGTTCTCATGTTAACCCCCCCCCCCGACTCAAATTCTGGGTACACTACTATACCGTGTGTGCACAGGGTATGTTAGCATACGTTGGCATTCAGGTGTCACCCCAATGGGTACTTGAACACAAAGCAGAAACGTTAATATGCATGGTCTATGGAGAATGAATATTCATGACAAATTTTTTAGGCCCTCGTTGGAAGACACTGTCTAGCTGTTCCCTCACAAGCTGACAAAGCACCATCACCCCCCCTTGCAGGTCTGCTGTGGAGGGTCTCCCCCATGCACGTACTACGACACATGGGTACCAGCTAAGATCACCGGGCAGCCAACCACCTCATCCATTAGTTTATCTTACTACTGCTACAACAGAGACGCCACGGCTGTTCGCTACTTGTGGAGAGACATGCCTTGTGCCTTCAAGGACTGCCCAGTGTACAGTGTGGAGAACAACCTGCCCGGACCGCCGTTCATATTGAATTTGTAAATTGGCCACCATCGAATACCTAAATAATCCTGTGTCTTTCAGAATCTAACAAGATTGATTTTCTGTCTTGTTTGACTCGATCGGCTCGAAGATGTCCCAAGAAAAATGTGATGACTGCACAGGTGTTGGTTCTTGGTAGATTCTGATAGATATTGGGAGAAATTTACCGCAAGAAAACTGCTCGGAATGGGTTTTGAAGAGTTCAATTTATGGAGTAACTTAGCAACTACTCAAGACTGATTAGATTAGGGGCAGGAATTAGGTACAGAAATCACCAGCAAGAAACAAATTTTTGAGCAATGGATTTAATCTACCTACATGTATATTAATGGAGTCTGGGTTCGCAATTAAAAGTTTTACATTAATTTTTTAATGGTATGTATAATACATGGTCGCATTTCTGGAAAGGCTGCTTTTTGGGTGTGATCAGAAATATAGATGTCAAAAGCACCTACCCTGATAACTGAAATTATACTTCTTGCTGGACAAGACGATGGCACAGTCTTTATATCAGTTCTGTTCATCCTGCAAACCCTGAAAAGGGACTCAAGATTTCAAACATTGTTAAAGAGCAACTCTGAGGAAAACATGTTTTCTCTGATTTTTATCTGTTCAAGTAAATTGGAAACATCCAAACTGAATGCACTGTCGTTTATTTTCATAGCTTAACAAGCAAAAAAGGGCTTTTTCTCCTGTTCATGCCAAGATGCAACTTCTGAGCATGCTGGATGTAGATTGCGTCATTCAGAGAAAACTGAGAAAATGAGGGAAACCCTTGCCCTGTGTTCATAGTGGATAAACCCTAGGCCGTTGTTTGGCGTGCACAAGAGAATTATCCACTACGAACACAAGGTGAGGGTTCCCCTCGTTTTATATGTTTTCTCAGAATGAGGCAATCTACATTCAGAATTTGCATCGTAGCAGGAACAGAAAAAAGCCCTTTTTAGTTTGTTATAATTGAGCCCTGAAGACAAATGACACTGCATTCGATTTTTATGCTTCCCTGTTTATTTGAGCATATAAATTCAGACAAAACATGTTTTCCTTTGGGTTGCTCTTTAATGGACAACATTTGTTATTAGCTAGGCTGCTCTGAGCTTCAGGTACCAGCATAGATGAGTTCTAGCACTTCTTGGTTAACCAAATTTGATACAGTACTCAATGGTCAACTGTAGTCTTAGGTCGAACTTTCTCATTTTCATGCCCTGAAATGATACAAATGGCTACATTCTTGTGTAGTTTTCAGTTTATGATAGATCATGTGACACATCTTCCCATGTGGAAATACATGTACTATTATTGTCTTTTCCTCATTCCCACTGGCCTGTCTAATTGTCCCGGTGACTGCTACTTTTGCTGTCTGAAAGACTTAGCTACGGCTAGATATAACACACGTGCCCATGGAAATCACCAGCTGGTGGCTTTGTACATTTCCCATAGATGCATGTGTCGACTCCAGCCATAGCCCAGTGATTTAGACACAGCCTGCCTGTCACAACATTCTGTAAATTAAAGCCAAAGAAACCTTTGCAAAGCTTCAAAGGTAACCTGCTGCCATAATCAGTATTCTTGTGTGCCTTATGTACCAGTATATATGTCATGCGCGCACAGAATGGTTAACCTCGTCTCATTTGGTACATAAATAGAGGTTATGCTCTGCAGCCATCTTCCCAGTCAGTGCTTTAGTCATGAGGGATATACACAAAGGGTCTACTCGTGTGCCTGACCCATGGAACAAAAACACTGACCGGGAAGATGGCTGCCCTGCAGAACCTCTATTCTGTTAAGTACGATCTCAGAAAAAATTAGAGGTTGCCAGTGCTCTTGGATATACATGTATAAGGCAGTGGAGAGGATCGACTTAGTGGTGTTTAATAAAATTTAAGTTTGTCAAAGTTTTTAATACTGTGAATGCTAAACATGTTTCATGAAGCTTCTGAAGTTTCATTGATGTACTGAGTTTTTTTCATTGTTCAAACATGAAGTCCCATAGTTCATTTTTATGGGGACCTTGATTTCTTCTTAAAATTAATTATTTCATGTCAATCAAACTGGTAATTGCATTAAATGCTGTATTTCTATTGATGAAGCCGTTTCTTGCTTTTCTGCTTGAGGTGTTTTTGTAACAAAAGGATGGAAGAAAAATTTTTGGAGGGGGTAATGTAAACCTTTGAGGTACGTAAACCTTTACAGCCTTTGGGGAGGTAGGCCAAATGTCGGGGGGGTATGAACATTTGGCAGGAAAAGAAATCACATTCTCCCTCGAGTCACCTTTTCCGGTTATACATCAAACAATACCCCTCCATGGGAAGGGGGCATGGCCCTTAATTAAGGGGGGCCGGCAGGCACCCAGTTGCCCCCCCCCTTTATTTGGCACTGTGTGTGGGATGATCTTTATTTAATGAGGTAGTGTACAAACTGAAGTACAACATTTAATCACTTTTTTCCCAACAAATTTTAAGAGAAAAACCCCTTTTCAACAAATTAAATGTTATCCCCCGAGTAAACCTTGCGAAGTTTTCCCATCAACATTTATCACAATTTCAGTGAGTTTGCTAATTTTTTATAATGTTATTTCACGCATGTACCCGACGTAACTGGAAATCGAAATTGTTTTCCGTCAAAAAAAGTCTAACCTCAAGTTAAGTTTTGCTATAATTTAATTACAAGACATCAAGGTACAAGAAAAAAAATGCCCTTTTGCCGCCCGAATTTTAATGAAAACTCTAAATATAAATCTCCTTAAATTACATCAAATAGATTAACTTTATAACAAATCTACATTGCTCTTACTTTTCGCTGCCGAGTGTTATTTAAATTTGCGACTTATATTTTGGTCGTGGATAGAAACTAGCCCCCATCTATAAAGTCATCATTGTCAAATACTGAATATACTTTTCAAAGTTAAAGGGTCAGGATTACCCCAATAATTCCAATTGTGACCAAGATTAACCCTTTGAATACAACTGTAATAATCTAACTATCAGTGACCAATTTTGGGTAATGAACCCAAGTAATTTTAGTAAAAGTGCCTTATATGGTATCCGTATCCGTACAATTCTTTGGTGTTTTCACTCAACTTGTACGCAACGAAAATAATATTGAAAGACACACAGGTTTGGATACAGCGCCCTCGATTGATATTAAATCCCCCGTTTTGACGGGCATAAAACTTTCAGACAAAAATCATTTTCAAGCCCTTTATATGATTTCAAGCCGACGACCTATCCTTAAATTAAGGGTTCTCTGGCAACCCTCCAGTGGGCGTTGCCATGCTCAAGGGTTCACCACAACACGGCCACACGACTGAAGTAAACATGATTCACATTGAGATTTATATTATTTTGTCAAGGTGAATTGACTAAATTCTCGAAAGAAATGGGCCTATATACAGCTGTATCATTTTAATCTGCTTCGAATCATTTTACATAAAACTGCGAACAAAGAGTACGTGTAAAGTAACGAACTTTGAAATAATTGCGTTGACATTTTAATCGTGTACAAAAATCACAGAAAGAGCAATTAATCCAATACATTATGATTTTTGTTAGCAAACATTTTACAATTGTCATTACGCCAGAAGGATGTTTCATGTTAAAATTACATTGTATTGAAAGTTCAATCACTTTTTTTCACAGATCAAGCACAATCCCGCCTAAATATTTTAAAGTAGTAGAAAGAAAATGTGCTTATTGTTCCACAGTACAAGCTTACACACGCATTCCAACAATGAAACACACAAAAACTATCACTTATTCCGAAATTAAGCAAAAAGAAACTTTTTTTACAAGTTATTCATACATCTACAATTATATTGGGACTAGCTATATCATCAGAAATAAACTTTGAAATAGCATGGAATAACTGGACAGACGGGCCACATGTTTATTTGTCTCACGTCACTGGTGGGCATATTTGCATGTAATGAATGATATCTCCTTCACTCCCGTCAGTTTTCCTCATAACATTCTGTGAGACAGATACTGTGGTCTCAGCGGCTCCGTCAAAACACTTCATGAATTTCTAGAAAAGACAGCTAGAAAATGAATACGTACAATATGTATACGAGCAATACAGTGTTCTAATGTCCGAATCAACACACAGAAAATCATACGCTCAAAAGCGTATTGACTCATGTGCACGAGATTTCACGGACGGATATTTCAGAGTTTATTTCCCCCAGCGAAGGGTTCGTCCTGCGCTTGTCCTTGGTTGATGATACTCAAGTCGATGTCTTGCCTGGATTCTTCCTCGCTTGGGTCATACACGCACGTCGCGCACTTCCGGAGGCGGTTCATGTCGGCAGTGGGTGCCAGGACAATATCGTAGATGCCAGCCGCCAGTATCCCGCCCAGAATCGGACCAACCCAGTAGGCCTGTCATAAAAAGCACAAGGAGAGCAAGCCTTTGAAAACTAATCTCTAATTTTGTGGGGTGATGGAGCTGTCCATAAAGTATAATATACTATTTACGTACGTGGGAGGGTGAGGTTAACACATTTTGAGATTGGCCTTCATCCCGTGCAAGCACAGAGTTCCATTACCCTGATGTTTCGTTCTCACAGCACGAATACTACAAAACTATGAAACTTCACAAAATAATGCTGAAGCTCAACGCCTGTTTTCTCTTTTAAAAATTGTTCTGCGTCAGGAAATGTCCTATTTGTTTCTGTTGATAAGGGTGCAGTCCACTAATTCAAGTGAGAATTTCTGGCCAGCTTATTAGCATTAAAAGTGTCCCCCCCCCCCACAGTATCGTTTGAAAAAGGAGATTGCTTGGCCCCTAAAATGGTTAGATTGTGTAAATCCTTGCCAGCATCAACTCACTGGGTCTTTGAGCTTTCATATGAGAGCAGAATGGCTAAAAAC